TGCTGGCTGGGGAATTCTGGGAGTTGAAGTCCACTCAAAGTGGCCAAGTTTGGACAACACTCTGCCTTAGAGGATCTGGACTAATGGCTCTCTCTTGCTCTTCCCAGCTGAATGAGGTATACAGAGTAATCCCAGGTGTCCAAAAGTTCCAGCAGACAAAATTCAGGTGAGTGCATTGGGGAGCATAACTGGCCTGGGAAGAAATAATGAAGTCTCACTCTACAGGTTATTTTTTAAAGGAAAATAAATGATGATAAGCAAATAGCAGGGAATTAGTGTGATGAGAGAATATATCTTTGGCTGAGAAGACTGTCTTCTTTCCTAGAATAAAATGTAGTAGAATTTGAATTCCCCTCTAATCAGCTTTCCAAAGCAAGCACTGTATAAAGTGTATGGGGTACTGATTTGGCTTGTCAGTCACTAAAGCTGTTGATATTCTTCTGATCAAATCCATGAAATTTATGAATTTCATCTGTTTTCTCCCCAGGATTCAGCCAAATGCTGGAAAAAGGTAAGCAAAATCATTCATTTCTGCCCTAACATCCTAAATCCAATAGTTTCCACTATTGTGCTTATACTGCAACAGTTTTTGCCTACCTTCCAGAAAATAGGATGTTGTTTTTTATCATTATCACTGCTGGTCTTTTTCTCTGCATTGCATTATTTACTCCACAGAGAATCAAGTTGTTTATCTGTGAACCTCTCATTGCTGCATGTGGGAACCTGTGCTCATACAAGTAGTCCTTGGCTTACGTCCATTCATTCAGCGACTGTTAGAACTTGTGATGGTGCTGAACAAGTGGTACTTCAGACTGGCCCTTGGAGCTCCAGCCATCGCAGCATCCTGGCAGTTATGTGATTGTGATTTCCAACATTCTCTGCTGGCTTCCCACAAGCAAAGTCAATGAGGAAGCTGGCAGGAAGTTGGAAGTTGTGGTCACATGAAGTCCTCGCTTAGCGACGGCAACTGGGACTGTCAGAACTGCCATCACTAAGCAGTGTAGTCACGTGATGTCATGCTTTACGACCGCATCACTTATTGACAGCAATTTCGGTCCTAATTGCCATTGTTAACTGAGGGCTACCTAAGAGCTACACTTAGACTATTCTGGCTGCACAGTCAGACATTTCCATTGAGAGATTCCTCACTGTGTCTTTGGAGTTAGTCTGTGCTGAAGTATTTGAAGAGAGATATATGACTATTAATGGGCCTCTGGGAAGTGTGAGCAGCCAAAAACTGTAGAAGCCCCATGTTACCGCTTTGGTGCTGCTCTGTATCCACTCTTGCAATCCACTGCAGATGCCACTTTTGGGGATAGTGGGAGGCACCCAGTGTTAATTCCTTTGCTGCAGAAGGCTAGAAGTATTCCGGATTAACATCATTTGTGGATTAGCGGTTATACATTTGTGTGGGCATTTGTGGACAATGGATGCATCTTGCTACAGCTCAAGCTGGAGTGTCTGGTGGGTTTGGGAATGATTTTTTTTTTTTAAACACCAGGGCATCATTTGTCATGCTTCCTCATCCATGGCCGTATGCCAGTGGTTGGCAGGGACAGAACAAAAGCATGAACAGGGGAGGTAGTCTGATGTTTCTCTTCTTTCCAGGCAAGACCACGCAATTGTGGACACGGTGCTTCCCGCTCCCCGCTCAGCTAAGAATGAAATTATAAAAGTAACAGAGAAACATGTCTCACAAGAAGCTTTCAATGGACTAAAAGTGTCACCTGGTTACTACACTGTGATTGCTGACCAAGGTAGGTGCCTCCTTCCTTTTACTTTAGTGTCTGAGCTTCTTCATTTCAGATTGCTTAAGGAGGGGTGGGGGGAGGCTTCTATGATGGAATGCTTCTCTGTATACAATTTTCCTTCTGCAAGGAACCAGTCTGGGGGCCTTTGGAGGCCATCTTCTTTCATATTTTGCAGAGTTGTTGTTTTTAATTACTGCAGTCAGCAGTGATACAGCCTAACGCAGGCTGACAATTGCACTGAAGGCTAGGGGTACTTCCAGAAACATGACTCTGCAATTTTCAGTTACATGACACTGTGGAACTATTCTGTTTTTCGTTCCTGAATAAATATTCAATGATAGAAGAAAAGTCAAGGTACGTGTAAGTCCATGTGGTGCTAAACTGTGGCTTTCACATGTTGCCGAGCTTCAGCTCCCAGCAGCCCTGGCCAGCATGGCTAATGGTAAGAGAACCTAGGAGTTATAGTTCAGCAAAATCTAGGAGATTGGATGTTGCCCACCATTGGAATAAATGATGTGGCAAATTCAGGAAGAGGAAGATATTGCCATTTGGATTATGTAGGAATGAGAGCAACTATATAATAAGAACCCAAGAGATTATTTTATAAGGAGCGCCTTCCAATTGTGAACTTATTCTCCTTCTTTCCTTTGCCTCCCTCCAAACCCTAGATGCCCATGGCTTGGTTGAGTTTCAGGAAGGAGTGGAGCTGGTGGATGTTCGGGTTCCCCTCTTCATCAGGGAAGAGGATGATGATGAAAAACAACTGCAAGTGGAGGCCATTGATGTTCCTGTGGGCACTGCGGAAATTGGACGTCGCCTAGTCAACATCACCATAATAAAAGAGCAAGGTGGTATGATAGCATGCAGTGGGAAGGACATATGTTTGTCATACAATCATCTCTGCTCCTTATGTAGTTTACTACTGTTAAACTTAGATCATTCTGAAAGAGGCTTTTGTTCTAATGGACAGTGAGAAAACTTCTTGGCCCCCTGAAAAATCAGGTGTTCCTATCTGTATGCTATAGATAAGTGGTGGAAGAATTCTTTGTGTGACCCTTAGAGCACCCCCTGAACCCTCAAAGCACCCCCTGAAAGGGCAAGTCCAAATTTTGGGGTGAATGGATTGGAGGTCTTTAAAAAGCAAAATTAGTGCCTTAAGCCTTGCAAACATTTAAGGCATCCATTTCACCTTTTAAAAATTCCCCAACTCTTCCCCAGCTTCAGGTTGATTTCTGCCATAAGGGGGTCAGGGAGCAAAATGGGTACTTGCAAACCTTAAATGTCATTCTAGAAAATGACAGTCCTCTGCCCATGAGGTCACAAATCATCATTAGAGCTATATGAGGAGAAAAGTAGGTCTGCCTGCAGTAAAACAACACTCGTGACCAGTTTGTTTTCCACTTTTCCTGGCAACAGATGCTTATAGTATCTCAAGTCTCATGTTCATTTAGGGAGGAATGGAAATGGTGAAAGACATGGCAAAATCCTTTTCAAAATCCATGGCAAATCCAAAATTCACACACACACATACCTGTTAATGTTGGTGATGCCAGTAAAAAACTTCCTGAATCTGGCTGCCAAGTTAGGCTCTGCAGAGTATCAGGAAACAAGCTGGAGTAATATTGAAGCTTGGATCTTGTTCTTTAGTTTAGAACTGGGGGCAATAAGTAATATTTCCTGCTTGTTAATGTAACACTTCGTACAATGCCTAGATGAAACTGTTATTTTTATTGGATGGTGAAGATTGTTAATGTATTACTACCTATGTATCTCTTTAGCAAATAGCATCATTAGCTTCCTGGAGCCAGTTTATTCATACAGTCGCTTTGACCAGCTGGCTAAGATCCCCGTTGTTCGAGAAATATTGGAGAAGGGGAAATCCCAGATAACATACCGGACACGAGATCTCACAGCCCAGCAAGGCAAAGTAAGTGCTCTGTGAAAAATAAAACAGTTCTCATAGGGTTCCTCAAAACCTTTGGCCACTATATGGTCATATTGTAGCCCTGTGCACTAAAGAGGGAACATACGAATGCACCACTAGAAAATGTCTGCTGCTGCATTCAGGAATATGAAGACAACCCTGATTGTGATCTCTTGCATGAGATCCATAACATCCCTTAGAAGAGCAAACTTCAGCTTTTCGACTAGACACTGCAACACTTTTTTGTCTCTCTGTTGCAAAGCATACAAAGCTGCAAGGGGAGGGGGAAGCAATGAAAATGTGATTTCAAGGCAGATTGATAAACCTGCAGGTGCTCCTGCCGTATGACACTAGCACCGTGGCCCCTGCATTGGTTGTCAGCAGGCTTCTGGGTGCAATTTAAAGCTCTGTTACTAACCTATAAAGCCTTACATGGCTTGGCACATAGTTATCTGCAGGACCACATTCCCCCACTGGAATTAGCCTGGCCAGTTTGATCTGCCTGAGAAAAGCTGTTAACAATGATCCCATTTGAAGGAGTTGAGGGGTGGCTGAAGCTCAACAGTGCTGCTTTTCAATGGCTGGGATGGTTCTTTGAAATTGGCTCCTGCCCTGGTTGCCCAGAGCAATTCCAGAGGGCACTTGGGTCTTGACCCATCTTGGTTTGGTTATAGTTTGGTTAATTTGACATTATTCTGTGTTTTTCATTAGGGTTTGTAGACTTTCTCTTTATTATATATTTATTATATATTGTTTCTTATGCAACTATCTTTACATTGCTGAGAGTCCTTAGGGGTTTGGGTGTCTATGTGAATGAAAGGTAATATAATGATAATAATGGGAAAACCCTGCATAAACTAGCAGATCCTACAACATGAATCTGCAGACTAAACAACTTCGTTTGCTAAAATATAGTGTGCCTTTAGTCTTTTTACTTTTTCTTTTGGGATTTTTTTTTTCGTTTGTTTGTTTAGTTTGGGGCACAATTCCAGTTGAGACCAAGGTAGTTGGAAGAAGAAGGCTGTCGCAGGGACGTTTTAAAAGGAAAAAAGCCTTCCATCCCTGCCAATTCAATTTTTAAGCCCCAGTGGAGGAGAGGGCATAGTAATTTTGTGAAGGAAGAGGCTGGGAAGAAAGGTTAAAAAGGCCTCTCTCTGAGACAACAGTCTGGGTTAGGTGGAAGTTACACAGTAAACATTTAGCATATTCTGTAGTTTAGCTCTTACACCATCTCTTCACATACTGTAGTACGTACCCTTTCCATAGCCAAAAATGTTTGCTGACATGGCGTGGAAAAAGGATCTGATGTGGAAATGTGTGCACTTTTTAATGTGCTAGCTGTTCTGAATATATGGGAAATGCTATGTAGATAGGCTGCCTTGCTTATATGTTCCAGGGTTAAATTCATCTAGCTAAAATATGCTAAGTTCTCTGCTTAAGCAGTATACGTTGCTTTGTGTGAGGTCCTTAAAATTTTACTTTTCACTTGATTTTTACAACTTTGGCTCTCTGTCTCAGAAAAATCTAGCTCTAATCTTCATATGAGTCCCACTGAAAACAGTGGGTATCAGCCTATCCAGATTTATGCCTGACCCTCTGGTCAGAAAAATGCATAAGGAGAAACCATGTTCTTCCAACAGAATTTCAAGAACTCATCCTAACACTGATAGGAATCAAAATTCTTTAGCTGGAATATATGTCCTAGAATAATTATTTATTTATCATTTACAAATAGTATGATTAGCATAATTCTGGGCCATTTTGTTCCATAGTTATGTTTGTGAATTAGTGATAGAACTAGTGCTAAGTAATGAAGATGTGTGTACAGTAGGAGCACAAAGGAACAGTAGCAGGGAAGTTATTGAAACCACCTTTGGATGGCTAGAGGAGGAGAAATACATTAAGAATAAGTTGCTGGTGATGCTTGCAGTCCATTATCAGCCCACTGGGCATATTCCCAAGGCCACCTAATGTATCCTTATCTCTTTGTAGCTACTTTGCAGTTCATCCCATAGCAATATAATGCCAATGTGGATTTTTTTCCTCTTTTCCAAAGAATGAATGAGTGAATGAATGAATGAATACATGTATGCATGTATGCATGTATGCATGCAATGCAATGCAATGCAATTCTGGTTCTGATAGACACAATAAGTGTGAGAATTACTGCATAATACAGAACTTTTAAAATATGTATCTGTACATTGTATGGCTCAAAGTGCAGGTCATCTTCTAAAATGCTGTAAATTGCTCTGAGTGGTGCTTTTGTATCAGAAGGATGGGATATGAATGTTTCAATACCATAAAGCAAAAATAGTAATTTGTTCAGCGTGTTCTCTCTTTACCTTTCCAGGATTATGTTTTTGCGGAGGGTGATTTGATCTTCCTGCCTGGGGAGAAGCAGAAGGAAGTGCAAATAAAATTGCTGGAGTTGACAGAGATTGATGCCCTCCTTCGGAACCAGCAGCTGAAGCAATTTGCAGTGGATCTCATCAACCCCAGGTTTGGGGCAAAGATTGGCAAACAACCTCAAACCATAGTGACAATTGTTGATCCAGGTGAGCTTCATCCATTTCTGATGACAATTCTTTTCTTGATGCCTGAGAATCATTTGCCTGTTATGTTGTGTTGTATAGACGTTTGGACCTCTTGAAGCCCTACCTAGGCTCTGGCAAACATGATTACCAGACTTCAGTATTTAAGATCAAGAAACCTGATGTAATATGAGCATTGATTCCCAGAAAGTATATTCTCATTCATAAGCTATCAGTGCAGTTCAGTGAACAAATCCCATTTGTTCTATGTTGCTTTGAGATTCAGCCAGATGTGCTGTATGTCCAGTCATAATTTTGTGTGCTCTAGTGATATTATTTTACCCATGATTTGATATGGTAATAAGGATAGAATTAGAGAAATAACTGCTTTCATTTGATGAAGTCCCATAAACCTTTTGCTCTTTGCTGTGATAAATTTTATAATCATTTGTTTTATTTTTGCTTTGCAGAGAAGTTTATCTAAATATGTGATATATCATATGGTATGATATATTATGACCAATATCAGCTGACAACAGATTTCTATTCCATGTAAACACCATTCATGTTATTATTCCAATCAATTCTTTGCTGTGCCATATAACTTTACACAATCTTCCCTACAATTATATAGGATATACATATTTCATCACCTAAAAATATATTGAGGTAATATTTTTCTTATGTGAACATGGTGCTTCTATGAAAACAGTCACAAAGTGTTAAGTATTGTGCAAAAAGCAAAAAAGAACTAGCAACTGCCCTTTATTAGACTAATAGAATATCTAGGATCCCTGAGAGATATTAGCCCTGAGTCTGTGGCCTGTGTTTAATTCCACTTAACTATTCTTATCCCAAGTTTTTCTCAAGAAGAAGGACTTACAGATGTGTGAACTGGAAGTAACTCTTGTGCCTCTTCCAGTTTATGATATGTCTTAATCCTTTACCATTCAACCTCTGTGTTTTTCTTTTTAGTTGTTTACAAAGAGGTATAATTTCCTCCACCTTTTTTCTCCTTCCAGATGGGATGTCATCATCAACAAACCTGACTCAGTTTCCACATTCTCCTAGAGGCATTCTTGCAGCACCTCTTAATCCAAATGCACAGGCGTTAAGCTCTAGGAAGATCCGTTTCAACTGGTTGCCCCCTCCAGGCAAACCTGCAGGATACAAGGTGTGGAAAGTGAAGTGATAAAGGCGTGCAAGCCTGTTGATTATGGGGGGAACTGCACTCTGGTGCATGCCCTGCACTGAAGTCAGGGCTCATGCATAAAGCATAAAGGTGCACTGCTGTGCAGCAAGGAAAATACAAATACATAGGGTATGGTTTCTAAAGCTTATGCCAATAGGTACTGCAAATCTGTTGGGGTACAAAGGAGAAAGTCAGAAATTAAATATTTATCTATATGATTTTTAGGGTGGTATACAGTCCTCATACACACATCAAACAAGTTGCATAGCCACTTCATAAGCAAACACATCCATATTTTAACATTTTTCTAATTACACCATCAACACTTGCTGCCTTACCTTTTTTAACATTCTTATCGTGTTTATTACTTCATTTTTTTCCTTAGATATTAACATTTCTATCTTTCATTTTAACTTTACTCTTCAGCATTAAGCCTTTCATTTCCAAACAAATCTCTAAAATACTCCTTCTAGCATTTCCTTATTTCTGTTTCATTCCAAGTCATGTTCATCACATTTGAAGTATCCTTCTTCATACTCTCTTTGGTCTAACTCCATACATTTCTTGTGTGTGTGTGTGTGTGTGTGTAATTTTATTAAGGATTTTAATTACAATAGTAAAATCTAATACAAACTAAAAGAAAGAAAGAAGAATAGAAAGAAAGAGTGAAAGGTGCAAGGGAAAAGAAAAAACGTAGAAAAAAGAAAAAAGGAAGAAAAGTAAGAATATAGTAAAGGAAGAGAAAAGAAATATATAAAGAAGTGACTTCCAACCTTCAGCACGACAAGCATAAACAATTTTTGTAACTCTTCACCCCCTCTTAGTTTACAACCATTGATCTCTTCATCCCATATTCCATTTCTTATCTATAGACAAATCCATAACACATCATCTTTTCAGTCCTAGTATAAGCAGAAAGTCCATTAAGGGTTACTAGAAATAACAACATATCTATTTTAACCTTGATCAAATAAACCAACTTTATATTTCCTTCTTTTACTTCTAACAGTCTTAATCTTTAGCTCATTCAAATAATGTCATAGAATATGATTTCTTTTCATTTCTTCTTTGTTCCTTCTCACAAGATTCTTCAAAGCTTTAACAAGCCTCTTTTGTAAATGCAATATAAAAAAATTATCCAGGTCACTCTCTTAGTTTATTATTTGTATTTCCCTTTTGATTTTTGAAACATCAACTGGTTTATTTTGAATGTCCAATGAAACTTCCATGTCATTCTTGTAGTCTATCATTTGTAGATCCACTTTGATGCCATCTCTGTCTTGTCAAATAAAACTTGTTCCACATGTGCTATTTCTCCCATAACATCTTTTGGACACAGTCTATCCATAGAAGCAAACATCACTATTGACATTGTTGATACTAACTTCTGATTCCATTTTTCAAAAGTGTCCTTCAGTGTTTTTAATGTTATGTCTTGTCAAATAAAACTTGTTCCACATGTGCTATTTCTCCCATAACATCTTTTGGACACAGTCTATCCAGAGAAGCAAACATCACTATTGACATTGTTGATACTAACTTCTGATTCCATTTTTCAAAAGTGTCCTTCAGTGTTTTTAATGTTATAATATTTTGTGTCATTTTATAAGACCTAGTTAATTAGCTGTTATTCAGGCTTGTGAATTTTTCTCCTTTAACTAAAATCTAGTTCCCTCTAGTGTCTGATTTTTT